GAACAGCGTGCAACAACTTTTAGACGCATTAATGACATGGAAATAGAAGCGGATCATTCTGTGTAGTACTTTACGATCACTTAATTCAGGGGTCTGAGACTAACGTAGTGCCTCCTCGCTTGTTTTATCTAAACCCGAGGAAGAAAATACTTTTTTCTTGATACCCGAGACACTGGATTGCTCAAATTATCCACTTACAGTACTTGTTTATACTGCTCTGCACATTAGTACTCGTTTGGAAACATTAGAATTAAGCGGTTTTGCCAACTGCAAATTTCTTCCGACTCCGAGTCGCCTGATTTAATTGATAACTCTGGTATGCCTTGGTTTTTAACGGCCGGCTTCTTCCCCAGGCTCTGAAGTCAGCAATAGAAGAAGCTTTATTTCTGTCGGCTGTTTATATCGATTGGTGTGAAATAAAAAGAACGGTCTCCGCGAGAAATAAGATTTGGGCTGGCTGAATTCTGCACCGCTACTTATTTTTTTTTTTTAAACGGGCACCAAATTGCAGTGTGCAGATCCAGTTGTAAAAGTATGAGCTCTTTGAAACGATTTAAAACTCCTTACCGTGCGTAAAGTCTACCGAGAGACAGATCCCCATTAAAAGTAGCATTGTCTTCGGACAATCCATTTTTTGGAACAGTCTCTCACGCGGTTTCACAGTACCTCCCAACATCTATAGAGGAATAAAGAAGTAACGGAAGCCTGAGAATCGATCGCGAGTTATTGATCACACAGGACCAGCTACAGTCAAGAAAGTTATTTTACTTTTAGCGCAATTTAACGAAGGGAAAAATATACCGCATCAGAAATACACACTAAATGCCTTACAATTCGTTCTCCAATGAAAAGCCACTCATAGGGAAAAAAAATAAAGTTGGGAAGAATTTCTAAAGCTCACCGCTTACAACAGGCGCCGTCCCGTACGCAAAAGCCTCAGCTTGGCGGCCTCCCCCCCCTCCTGACTCTTATTAACTAATTGGGCCAATTTAACACCTGTCGCGTCGCTAATGGAAAATAAAGACACCCTCCCCCGTGTACCGTGAGTGATCCTTTTGGCCGTCCTCCTGGTTTGGAGATATTGACGGGGCGCTTTGAACGCGAAATACTGCAGCTGAGTGTTTTTCTCACAGCTGGCGAAGAGAAGCTTGTTTTAAAGGCAAGACTTGCATCTTTAGAAACCAGTGCCTGAAATAAACTCGTTTTCGAGATGTCTTGATAGTATAAGCCTTAGCTAGCAGGATAGATGTTAGTTATACTGCAGTGAGGGGTAACCAGTGTTCCTTCTAAATCTTTAATGGCCTGTGTGCCCAAACATTTCAAGTTGTGCAATTTTTTCCCCCAGTGACAAAAACAGGTGCGCACTAAATTAAGTGTGTGTAAAATTGTAAACCTGAAATTATGTTTTGTTAATCCAGTCATTCTCATACAGTAGCTACTAAAAATTGCATAAACTGTTTTACCAGAAAATATGAGCTACTTTGTTTCTTGATGCAAATAAACAGGAAATTAATATGCATATTGCTTTATTCTTAAGTTCTGCAATTTATAATGCAAATAAATATCACTACAGTATGTACAGTGTACAAATAATCTAATTTATTTTTTCTCTCTCCTGTCTTTGGTGTTTGCCCATTCTGTTAAGCTTATCCAGACAAATGAGCCCTCCATCCAGTTGAAAGCTTTTAATTCTAATGAACACATCCAAATGACACTTTCCTAAGCGGTTTCTTCATTTGTTTTTGAGTGAATTCATTAAGCTTAAATTCCATTCACAGTGAACACTGGATGCTAGAAAAGTTCCCCCAATATCCATCAGCTTTGCAAGGTCACAAAACCGTTCATTTTTCCACAAGCACATTCTCCTGGAACTTTCACGTCCTGACAACACAAACATAAATATTTCTCGCAACGGAACAGATATAAATTATGACTTTTCGGAGCAGCAGTTTCTCCCACTTCGTCAAGCCATTCCATTTTAAATGAACTTGCAGTTCTTTTGCACCTTAACGCCCTTCACCTCTTTCGATATAGTGAATTAATATTTAAAATTTTAAAAAATAAAATAAATTTTTAAGTGAGCAATAAAAATTTGAAAACAATTAGTCTATGTTTCTATGATATCGAGTAGCGATAATAATGCACACAGCCAAGCTGGGCCTCTTGCAGCCAGTCTCCTGTGGTCAATTTAGCATTTTTCAATTGACGACCGTGTTTGTTTTATTATCATATGTTTTTGGAATGTAATTTTTTGTGCGCAGTTCAATTTCCTATGTCCTCTGATTTCATAACCCGTGTGTATGCGCACACGCTCACAGCTTAGAGGAAACATTGTCCATAATGTACTTTCTCGAAAAGAGTAGGGGTGTTACCCCGGAACCCTGGCCAAATTTCCCCCTGGTCTTTGCCAATCATGGCCTCCTAATAACCCCCCTCTCTGAACTGGCTCCATCACTCTGGTCTCCTCCCCACTGAGAGCTGGTGTGTGGGGAGTGTACTGCTGCATCATCCAGGTGGGGCAGCACAATGGTGGTGGTAGAGGGGATCCCCATTAGCTGTAAAGCGCTTTGAGTGGCGTGTCCAGAAAAGCGCTATTGTGGAAGGTACAGTATGTGAGACACCAGCATTTTCTTTATATATTCTAGTATAGAAAGCACTGTTTTAAAAATCAGTCTTTACAAGTATTTTAAGCATAATCAGGTAGTAAACATTTAAAAATGTGATTTTCCTTTTCTGCAGCATAGTCTTTGGTTGATTGCACAATGTCTTACAAACAAACTTTATACAGTCCAAGGCATTTCCTAACATTTCCAACCAAGGTGCATTAATTCAGTAAAACACCTAAGAAAATGAAATGTGCTGATAAGTGAAATATTGGTGAAAGGTGGTGCTGAATCCCTCAAGATCCCAGGGTCTGCTGCAGAAGCCTGTTAAGAGTGTGGACCAGGCTGCCAGGCTGTGATGACAGAACCGGGTCACTGGCTTCTGTCAGGAAACTGGGTGCAGGATGAGATCTTTAGATCAATTAACTGCTGACAAATCAGCTGAATGGGCCGAATGGAGTTTTGCAAACATCCTTATAACCCTAAAACCATCCTGTTGGTTTAAAACTCACATGTACTGTAAGTAGAAGGAACTGATAAGTACAAACATGACATCATGCTCTCACAGAATCGCCTCACAAGAGCACTATACTTTCATGACTTTCAAGTGTCCTGTTTTTTCAGTCTTGGATGATTGCTACAGTATATGTGTTTTTTTTGTTTTGTGATTTGGGTGTAAACATGTTGCATATACCTGAAGGCTTTACAGCCCAAACGTTGTGTTTCTTTTCGTTTCACCACTAAATATTTTAATGTGTCTGCTACAGTAACAGTAAGACAGATTCTGAATTTTTTGTTGCATTGAAAGATGTTCATCTGAGAAACAGGAAATACTGTACATTCAGGGTGCTGTGACTGTACTTGGGTGTTCTGGTTATTGATGAGGGAAACAATCTCTATGACTTTTTCAATTTCCCTTAGTTTTATTGTTTCTTTAAAGTTGATGTTCACATAGAAGCTGCATGAAGTTTGTCTGCTTTAATGGTTATTTGATGTTTAAGATAAATGACAAAACCTGAAATGGACTAAAAAGTCTTTATCATCATTATTTTATTTGGTAAGTGCAGAATTCATGTATACAAGTTTAAAATTATAAGTAATTTACAGAATGCGGTACACAATCTTGCATAGTGCAGCACAGAATCGACGGAGTGTAACAAGTTTCTTATAATGGTACAGTGTACGAGAAAGAACTCATTAGGAATACCGTGTACAGCCTTTCAGCATATTCAAAAATAGTTCGTGGAATTTGTATCTTCACCCCATGTTCATGTGGGTTTCCTCCGAGTGGAAAATTGGCCCTGGTGTGAGTGTGTGTGTTTGTGTCCGTGTGTGTTCTGCAATGGACTGGTGCCCTATCCAGGGCGTATCCTGCCTTGCTCCCAATGCTTGTTGGAATAAGCTCCAGCTCCTCCTCAGCCCTGTAGTGGAAAATTGATGGATAAATTACAAAAGAGATGCTGTTTCTTGCTGTAGAAGCAGGCTAAGAAAGAGCAATTAGATGCCTTCCAGGATCCAAAGGAATGTCCCACACTGACCGGCTGAAACACTGGGAGTCTGAAACAAGCTGCCCAGCCACGTTGTTGAAGCCATTTCATTTTCTTACTTTTTAACTTTCACAAAAAGAGAATTGTTGCTTTCAACACGCAAGAGGTTAGTTGTTGTGAATTTCAAATGATTCAGATCTGTACTACCTCGCCGTACCTACAGATGTGATTGTCCATAGTATGTACTGTACACAATATTCCCCTGAAAATGGAATAAGAAACCCATTTTTAAGATACCTACTGTATATACCTAGAGTACCTATGTTTTGTACAAGGAATGCACCCTAACAATAGTAACAGCAGCTTGCTTGATAAAGCAGAAGTATTGAATTATCTTTTTGACACAAGAGCCATTCCACTGAGTCCTCCAGGGCGCCTGTGCTATATGTACTGTCTGCTGTTGGGCTCCTGCCCTGAGGGTCTCAGTTTGGGGCGAAGGGGTACGTTCTGTAAACATGCCCTTTTACTGTTTTTCTTCATCATTAAGGAAACTAACAAGCTCTTTAGAAATCCAAGAACTCCTCTCATTAATTGATCAAGGAACAGTATAAGCTCTTTATTCCAGCACAACGAAGAGCACAACTAGCAAATTGTTTTTACATAAAGCAAATACACTCAGTTGGACTGCGTGTTTTGAATGAATTATTGCTGAATGTAGTGTATCACTTGTTTTTTGCGTTACACAGTGCTGAATAGTACTGAATAGCACTGAATGGGGAAAATGTCTTAAAGGACGTAATTATTTACTATAGCCTGCTTTATTTTGATCGGGATTATAGCTGTATTACTACACATCAAGCCCTCTGTAAGTTATGACTACAGGATTTATTTTTTATCTCGAATGTTGCTGATGATTTTAGTTTAACTGCATATTTATTTTAAAAATCCACAATGATTTTAAATGTTTTACAAATGCAAACATACACCCAACCAGCATAAAGAGTTTACATGGTTAATAAATAATAATAAGCCCAGTGGGAATCCACAATTCAGCAATGTACTTCAAAGTAACTGCTGGATCTGTTGGGTGAAAAACAAAAAAAA